CCCCCATCGAAATCACATTCATTGAACCCCACCGCGATCTTTTTTCATCGACTCGCCGGAAATGATTTACACGCCGAAAAGAAATGGTAGGCACGGAGGAGCTTCAAATAGATAAACGTCAGCGGCTTAAGCGAATCAACCCGTAAATATTCGACGAGCAGGATTTTCGAGTGCGCGTAATGCGTTTTATCGAAAGTATTGCGAGATTAAATCTCGCCACAATTGGACCCCGAAATTCACAGGGACTATCCCATTGTATCCCCGACGTATATTTCCAGCTGGCAGAGTCACGTATGATAAATCAATTATTGGAATAATAGGTTAATAGCCTACACTAGATACGTTTACGACTGCAGCCAATGAATGTATGCGCGCGTTCGCCAGCTTAATTCCGATCTATACAAATGAAACCGAAATTAGTTGGACATTAACCGTCTCAGTCGTATGCATATGTAGACGACGCATAAATGTGTCGTCAATTGTGCGCTATGCACGAATAACTCGAATAACATTATCGAATCTGCTAGATTTGGAAGACAAGAGACGCTACTTAAAGAATCGAATTCAAGTAATAAAAAATACGTATTAATTGACGGACCCGTTGACGCGAGTCGCATACATACAGACATTCGTCTATTCATCGGGACGACATCGCAATGGCGTTATCCGTGCACCTTCGTGTAAACACATCGTGTGTCTCTTTCACGATTGACGCATAAAAGCCACATATCGCGAGTTCGCAAGATAAAATCGTAGCAAATCGTAGTAAAAAGCGTGGCCGCACGTGCGAAAGCAATAAGTCGCGTACCTGGTCGGTGCGCACGTACGTGCGCGTCCACGAATGCGCGTGTGTGAGCGCACGCGACAGAGGCACGGTCGTCGACTAATGGACCTGTTACGAGCAATTCCGGTAGAACGACAATTGCGCGCGCGCACGGAGGTACAATGCGTCCGGATAAGTGTAATTCCGAATGCGCAATTCGATCAAAAATTACCCGTGCTTCGTCGGCGGAATAATATTTAGCTTAAATTACGCCAAAGCGCGCGTACGTGCGTGAAGTGGCGGCCAAGCTGGGTTTGCAGATTAGAGTACCTGTCAACCGTGGAATCGTCGAGACTCTTGTACACACACACACGCGTGTATCCTGCGCGTTTAATTTTTCATCGCGAGACCGACCGACCAACCAGCATCGCGCGCCCGGTCACATTTTTGTTGCCGCTTCTTTTGCGAGGAACCTTCGCCCGGCCGTAAAAATTAGTTTGCGCGCTTGTTTCTCTTCGTCGCAATTTGTGTCCTTTAGAAATTCAGCGCTTGATCCAACTTAACGCGTACAACGCGTTAAGAGACCGATTTTACAGCTTGTTTTACGCGCAAATTCAAACCTTAATCAATATTTCTTGTAACATCGATTCGTTACTTTTGTCGAAGATGAAAGCCCTGCGTTTGTTGGAAACATTCGGAAAGTGTTCCTCACGTGCTCGACGCGATAAAACGCCATATATTACATGTATTTCCCGACATGTATACATACATTCTTCCTCTGTAACGCGCCCGATAAAGACTACTGCTCTCGCGCTACGACTCGCCGGTTTAAAAGCACTCCAATAAAATGGCGCGCCGGTCGCGGAATCTCGCGGAGCGATTGCGCTTCGGATTAAAAAGTTTTTTTACTGCGTGCGCGATGCGCCCCGACGTCGTAAAAATACGTCTAATGATCTAAAAAGAGGAGAGAGGCTGATGCCGCGTCGCGTGGCGAGTGTAGCAGACGGCAAGTTTATCGCGTAGCGAGGCACTCGTTAATGCCCGTCGTACGAACATTTTTTCGGTCGTGAAACGATCGTATAAACGCTCGCATTAGTCCTACAGCACCGAGATAAACATTACTTTAGCACCTCGGCTGGAAAATCACATTTTATTATTATCCGTTAGCCTCGCGCGCTCTCGGGACGAACGATAAAATCGTTTCGGTAAACCGCGCCAAACTGAAATGAAAAACGCGCATCTCTCTCTCTCTCTCTCTCTCTCTCTCTCTCTCAAAACGTGACGTTTAGCTATAAAGAGATAAGATAAACTCCCCCTCCAACACACTCCCAACCTGTCGATGTCGCGCGTGACGCGTAGAGAGTTAATGTTTCGACGCAAATATCCAAATCGTGGAATTTAACGACTCGTTATTATTTGTGGGATTTTCCGAGGCGTCTATGCATTGATTCATCCCGCGATAAATCCGAAATTAATTTTTTGACCCGACAAAGCAGACAACCCCTTTAAACATACATTGATCCTCCGAAATATACAAACGTTAGAAAGTTAAAAAATATGTTACTATAGATTCGATTGTCACACAGCTCGAGCAAGCCTTTCTCACCAATTCCTATATCCGTATCTACAAGAGAGACTTTGGGGCCAATCAGGGGAGATTCAGTCACATGATCGAGTTTACCACTTCCTCCCTATGACGTTCTGTAGCGACACGCGGAAAAGGTGCTCATATAAACGACGCGTCGATTCCTCCCCGTTACGTGCCGGCCGGATCGCAAAGTTCCGAGGGCAATTTAGTGCGACGATAGCGGTGCCGCTCCAGATACCGTGTCGCTCTCCCAGGGCGAATCTCTTTTACGTACGTTCCACGCTTTCCTACCCCGTTACGAAGGACGCTCGACGTCACAGCGAAGCACGGCGCGCGCGGCGCGGCACGGCGCGGCCTGACAAAGGAGCGCGTCACATCCATCCATCTTGCACCGGTCGTCTCTTTATTCCCAGGTTAAAAGCGTAGCGGCGGAGGCAGTTTGGACTTCCCGCCGCACTAAATCCACTAATTTCGGTCACCGACTTCGAGCCTGGTGCATTCGTGCAGCCGCCGCGATCGATGACGGGCGAGATACGCCGCTCTCTCCCTCTCTGTCTCTCGACCGACGAGTATAAATATCACGAGCGCAATCAGATCGGACTTTTACGACGTTAATTCGTAGAAGGCGGCAAACGGTATCGCTCGAAACCCGATACAATTATCGGAGGACGTTATTCTCGATACTTTTTCGAGAAACGCACAGACTCTTCAGACCGGCAATAAAGCCCTCCTCCCGATTGTATAAAAGCCATGTCCATTTCCACGTATCGAGATTTTTCGGATTTTGCGTTAAGACCTTCGACACTGTCCGTCCCTCTGGATTTCAAGTAAAAAGAAAATCTACGGAAGCCATCCCAGCTAAATGATGAAAAGTAGACTAATGACCCGAATTGCGAGAAGTAGACTAATTACCCCGGCAGCCGACGCGGAAAGAAAATATCTGCGTAACCGAGCGCTGCAATTTTCCTTTGCAAATTAACGTTTTCCACGCCGACCGGGCGAGCGCACAACCGTGAACTTTTTACTTAAATTTCAACAGTGAGATACGAGAAACGTTAAAACGCGCAGTTTTCATGAACGTAGGATTTAGTTTTATACGACTCTCTCTCCGCGCTGTGATTCTTTATGGAAAAATCGCGTGATTTACCGGCGCAAATAGATGAAATAATCTTTACTGAGATGCAATCCCACAATTCCGCCTCGCTGGAACGACGGTTGAGCGCCGAATTCTTCGAGCGAGAGAGTATTAATACTTTTATTAAATTCATAACTCTTCATTTCGTGCCAATTAAAACTAAGGACATCAAAGAGATTGCTATATATGTCAAAAAATTACTTTCTCTCAACGGGAAATGAACTCTGTGTCGGAGCAACGAACGCGTTGCGCGACAGAGATCGTTTTGTTGTCTGTGAGAGAAAATTCGTCATATAAATTCCGCAATGAGCAAATAAATAAAACGCTCATTTCTTAAGAACACTCGCAACGCTTTGTAGCGTCGTGTCCGGCGATCGATGCGGGAAAGAAAAGAGAGATTGAAAGAGAGATTGAAAAATTTATTTCTGCCACACGCGAAACGCGCGCGCGGTTGCACGAACGAAACGCGTCCGCGAAAGGGCGATCGCGCGCCGCGTGACTACCATACCGCATAGGGATAGACGACAATCCTATTGTGAGTCCCGGTCTAATCAGAGAATCCCGCGCGATCTTTTGTTCACAGATCCGCCGACGATCCTGGTGAGGCCACAGTCGCAGCAGGTGAAGGCAGGCGGAATTGCGAGCTTCTACTGCACTGCGGAAGGCGCGCCACCGCCCCAGATACACTGGCGGAAGAACGGCAAGAAAATTTCACGTGAGTTCGCACTTTCGATTCCATCCCCCTTCCCTCACGATCCGGATCGTCGGGGCCGTCCGCTGAAAATGCCCAAGGGTGCCGGGGCGCGCGGCGCGCCCCAAACCGAGACTCGCGTCTTCGAGATGTGGAACAACCGCCGCCGTGAGAATGGCCGGAATGAAAATTTTATCGAAATTAAAAAGTCCCGCGACCCAGATTCTCGAGCTTTCTCATCCACCACGTCGGTTCTCGCCCGCTTCTCTCGTCCCTTGTATTCTGCCTTCTTGCGAGGTGTACTTTTCGTTCGCGCGTCTCCCCTTTACCCCTGCCTTGTTACGGTTCCAGCCATTCTTGCTCGCTCTCTTTCTCCGAATGATTTTCGCGCTCTCGTCGCCAACGGGAATCAAATGGCGGGCAGCGGATGCTTCGCGAAATACAGGTGCATCGGGTTTTTTCGTTCAAGATATCGCCTTAAAAATGTCACGTCTTTTCTCATCTGGGGATTCTCCTCCGGGGATTCATCGTGATGACGAGGACGCTTCGCGATACGAAGGCTTGTAACCGCGCAAACTAGTTTTATCCGCGAGGTATTTTCGACTAAATGGACCACTTATCGCGGAATCCGTGCCAATTCGGATCGGATCTAAAGCTCAAGCCTTCTCGTACGTTCGAAAGGTAGCAGCAAATCCCGCGGGACCATCTCGGTGACGACGCCGTGACGGTTTCGCATAACGTTCGGCCTGATCCACGGAATGTATGTGTCCGAGCGCGATCACGTCGGTCCACATTCGTCGGCGACTCGCTAATCCGACGAGGAACATCCGACGAGATAATGGCCAGCTACCGCTTGTAACATTCTGAACGCCAATTGATGGCGAGCGCGCGGACGGCGGAAAGAGGACGATAACGGGGGGTGACGACCCCAGCCGCTCCAAATTTATACAGACGCGCGCGATCCAATTCCCATTCAATATTTCTCGGTCCGCGGAATTGGATACGAGAGGACACACATACCCACTTTTATTAGATTCCACTACGGCGCAATTTTCGATCTTATGCCGCGAACCGCCCGCCGATCATTTTCGCGCGCACTCCCTCCTCCCCCATGATCGGCATTTTCTCGCCTTTTGTGGCGGGTGTATTCCTTTTCACGGCGTAACCCGTCCGCCTCAATCTTCCGTCTTATGTCGACAGAATCCCAATCCCGGTACGTGGTGCACCCGTATGAAAATGGTGCTTTACTACGGATCGAACCTGTCAAGGTGCAACGCGACAATACCAACTACGAGTGCCTAGCTGAGAACGGAGTCGGCGACGCGGTTTCGGCCGAGGCCACACTCACCGCTTACGAAGGTAAGTGAAATTTCGTAAATTATAATTGTTCATTCGCAGTAAGTACGAGAATAGACATTCCACTCATCGTCGGATTCATATGTCAGATCTTAATTATGCAAAAATAATTCCATTCACAATGAATATCAAATAAAGACATTCATTGTCAAATTTTAATTGTGCAAAAATGATTCATTCGCAATAAATATCGAACAAAAAATAATCATCAGATTCATATGTCAGATCTTAATTATGCAAAGATAATCCATTCGCGATGAATATCGAGCAAAGATATTCGTTGTCAAATTTTAATTATGCAAAAATGATTCATTCGCAATATCAAACAAAAAATAATCGTCAGATTCATATGTCAAATCTTAATTATGCAAAAATAATCCATTTGCAATGAATATCGAACAAAGACATTTATTGTCAAATTTTAATTATGCAAGAATGATTCATTCGCAATAAATATCGAACAATGATATTCCATTCATCATAAAATTTTAGTTAGGCGAGAATGATCCAATCCACATATAAAATACGTTTCGAGAAAGATGAAAATTTGATACATGTCTTAAAAAATTATAGATAACATTGAGCTTCTGCGCTTTGCAATAATTCGAGAAGTCAAGCAATTTTCTTCTTTTCAAGGGTATTTATTGACAAGCTTAACCCTTAAAAATAAATAAGAATATAAAAAGAATGCATCTAGTAAAAACTTAAAACTGTTTTTTAATTAATTTTAAGAATTCACAAAGCTGTGATCTTTTTTGTTTTATATAGAAAAACGTATGGACTAATTATTGATAACAAAAATTCAAAAATAATAATTTTATAATAAATATATTTTGGATCATTCCTGCATAATTATGGTCAATTTTAGAGCGAAAGTCGCTTTTACAATTGCCACACTGACTTTACTCTTTGCGGAAACATATATCATGTTATTCTTAACAATATACTTTGTTTTCAAATTAATAATTCATTGATGTCAGTAATTATCTGATACATCCAGCATTATATTTGTTTATACTACGCATCGAAGCAAGCCTTTTCAACTTATTGGATGTTATAATTTATTGGATGTTGTGTATACGACATATATAAATTCTTATATTTCCCATTGTATGTACAGTAAACAATACACATTCGCGAGCTAAACCATCACGTCCGCAAAGAGTCAATTTCAGTATGCAAGAATAACAACAAATAATAGTCGATTTTATGTGATCTATGTGTTCCGAGTTGAAATTTTTTTTCTACATTAACATTGCAAATTCCGTCGAATTTGAAAAGTCAATGAAGAATACAAGATACAACATTATATAGACTTACCTTGGTATAGAATATGATACGTCTACTTTGTATCATTTTGTCCAATGTTGAGTCTTAAGACGACTCATTTCGGAATTAATTACTATACGGATTCTGTATGAAATAATACTACATCTTATTTAACATTTAAATCCTATTCTTAATTTCAGAGCAAAGTATTAATTACGTATTCACTTTACTGTAGAAAGCATATATGACAATGTGAGTTTCAAAGAACAACTTATTTCTGAATTATTTAAAATCTGATTTTTTCAATTCTATGTATTGCGCTTAACTCTTATTCTTTTTCTCAATACATATTAATTGTATACTCACTTCATTACAGAAATCGTATATGGTATTGGCACATAGGCAGATAAACAAATAAGGATTGATGGGTAAATGGGTAAGTGGCTAAAAGAAATGACACATATTATTCTCATCTCTTCCAAATTTTTCTTCTTTTCTTTTCTTTTTTTTCATTTTGTTTCTTTTTTCTTTTTTTGTGTTGGAAGTTTGATGAGAATTGTAGCTCTTAAAAGAGCTGATATAAAGCTGCAAAGGTAAAGACAACAGTTATATATCCAATAATGCTTCAAAGATTTAAATTTAGACTCAATGCAATAATAAAGGTAAATAGAAATGAAAAGCACAAATTAATAGATCTCAATGCAATAATAAAGGTAAATAGAAATGAAAAGCACAAATTAATAGATCTATTTTTTCATAAATAGCACAATCAGCATTATTAGACGAATAAAAATCAACACACTTCATAAAAAATTTACATTAGATTCCAAGGCTAATATTCACAGTTGTAAATTTTTTACAATCTTTAATTGAAGAAATAATTGCAGATTTGTATCCACGAACTGCTATTCGTTTCTTTGAATCTATATTTCTTATTGTATGAAAAAATTACAAGTCCAGACAAATAATCAAAAATTCATGATAATATAACTATATCAAATGATAAACTATGAATACTAGCCCAAATTTCAACTCGGATATCTATTCTCAATGAGTTCGTCAGATGTCCATTAAAATCGGAACATCCTGCGTAATAAATTATTTTACACACCTGAACATACTTGCTGTATTGCTGTCCGGCGCTTTGCGTCGTCCGTTCTGCCGTCCCGGTCCAACATCCTGCTCCACATTGCTTTGTCCTGGCATTCCAGATATTTGTAGCCTTGGTTTTAACACTGACACTCGCGTAGGTACGATTCGAACTCGCGTAAGTACTAAAAATTAAGTGAGGTCAATTAGCGCGATGCCGACGTGAACAATCGAATATTTCAAGAGCCAGAGCGAAATATTTAAATTACACGACGTGTGTATTGTACCGATGACGCGTGCTCCGCGCGCGACATGTTCGTCACTCGGCGACTCGAGACATAATGACTCCGCGGCGCGGTAATACGTGCCGCGCGTAAACACCAAAAAAAAAACACCCGGCCGGCTCGGAAATCCGTTATGTTGTAGAAGCGTCGATTGTTCCGCTCGCCGACTACGCGCGTCCTTGATTGACGGGCACGCGCGACAACAATCTTTCTTCCCGCTTGTGTGTATTCTAGTACTCTTAGTTTCGCCGGATGTTTTGCTACTCAATAAATCGATCGTTACTACAAATTTTCGACTAACGTATTCATTTGGTCTGGTTACGCGTTTCTTATCGCTATCAATCAATCCAGGAAACACATTCTCGCTTTCTCGATTAATCAACAGTCATACTTGAAACGAATGCGACTGCCCGAAAATTTTTAGTAACCTATCACGCGATCGAGTATATATCTCTTGCTAATAAATTCAACCTACAAAGATTCGGCGTCGCGTATATCTCTGGCGTTATTTCTTTCTTTCTCTTTCCTTCTGATTATCACCGAATTTCTAATTTCCGATTAATAAACCCGATGAGCATTCGATTCTATTACTGATTGTGTGACTCTATAGCTATAATAATAATAATATATAATAATAATAATAATGTGCCGACACGTCGCGACAAGCACCGGTTACACATAACGGAAAAAGATATGATAACTTACCAATAACGTCTTTACGATACGCTCCGACGCACATCGCTATTCTCGACTCTCCCGATACTTATTTACGCGTGAAGCTCACTTTTAAGGAACAAAAGAAGCGTGAAATGCGGAGCGTTGTCGATTGATGTGTTAATGGCGGTTGCTCGGAGCAAAAGGAACGAAGGCGCGTTTCGGTGCGAAGAAAGCGGCAGGTGGCGGCGCGATAGCCAATCACTGTGTCGCATTCTCAGTAAGAACTAGATTATTAAGGCTACTGCGGACGCGCCTCACCATCGATAGATCGATGACTGCAGTTTTCGGCATATGTGTCTACGCGGAAAAACAATTTCAATCCGAATAACTGAATGAGACTGTAAATAACTGGATGAGAAATTGTTCGAAAATTTATGGTAACTATCGTTCTGTCGAATAAGACATCTTGCGAAACTGAGTGTACGCGACACGAGAGAGAACCGAAACAAACGGGAAAATAGATAGTCGACCCCATCAATCGCCAACCGTCGTCGCCCGCCAATCAAGGATGCGCACAGCCGACGCGCGGCGAACAACAGTCGAAGCTTCTAGAACATTTCCGGCCGGTCGAGTGTTTTTGTGTTTACGTGCGGCGCGTATTATTGCGTGACGTAGTCATTGTGTCTCGAGTCACCGAGTGACAAAAAATACTACACACGTATCGATCCGTTGATTATGGCCGCGATCTGTTACACGCTCCTAACGGCCGCCAGCGTCATTCTATCTTTGTTTAACATCCGATGAGTAACAAAGATAGAATGACGTTCACGGCTGTTGGGAGTGTATAACGGATCGCGGCCTATAATATACGACCTGTGTGATTAATTCCCAATCCACAATAGATGTAGTAAGTTTTAAACCTTAAGAAATTGACTAATTACAGTCAAATTTAAGGAGAATAATCGACTGTGATTGATCAATTTTTTAAGGCTTAAAGCTTACTACACCTATTGTGGCTCGGGACTAAGATATTTCGTTACCAGTTTATGGATACAAATCTATTATTACGTCCTCAATTAAAGATTGTAAATTTACATTGTAAATAAAGATAGTATATTCACAATTTATAACTGTGAATAACAGCCTTGGAATCTAATGTAAATTTTTTATAAAGTGTGCTGATTTCTATTCGTCTAATAATGTTTCTTAAACTGCTATTTAGAAAAAAGTAGAGTCTATTAATTTGTGCTTTTTATTTCTATTTACCTTTATTATTGCATTTAGTCTAAATTTAAATATTTAAAGCATTATTGGATATATAACTATTATCTTTATCTTTGCAGCTTTATATCAGCTCTTTTAAGAGCTACGATTTTCATCATACAAAAAAATAAAAAAAAACAAAAAAAGAAAAGAAAGGAAGAAGAATTTAGAAAAGATGAGAAAAATGTGTCATTTCTTTTACCTACTTATCTATTAGTCCTTATTTGTTTATCTGTTTACGGGCCAATATCGTATACGATCTCTATAATGAAGTGAATACAGAGTCAATATTATATTCTTATCGAGAATAAGAATAAGAGTTAAATATAGACATAGTATCGAGAAAATTGGATATTAAATAATTCTGAAATAAGTCGTTCTTTAAAACTCACCATGTCATATATGCTTTCTGCACTAAATACATAATTAATACTTTGCTCA